TCAGACCTTGATCGACCCACGATATCCCACGGAGTCTCTCGAGAACTATGATGAGTGGACCATTGACCTCAGGAAGTTGAGTATGGGGGTGGCCTTTGCTCAGGGTGCTTTTGGGAAGCTCTATAGGGGCACTTATGATGGAGAAGATGTCGCAATTAAGTTGTTGGAAAAGCCAGAGAATGACCCTGAGAGAGCCCAGTTGATGGAGCAGCAGTTTGGGCAGGAGGTTATGATGCTTGCAAATCTCAAGCACCCAAATATCGTCAGGTTCATTGGGGCATGCAGGAAGCCAATGGTGTGGTGCATTGTGACAGAGTATGCCAAAGGTGGATCAGTCCGACAATTCCTCATGAAAAGGCAGAACAGGTCGGTGCCTCTCAAGTTGGCCGTCAAGCAAGCACTAGATATTGCTAAGGGTATGGAGTATGTGCATGGGTTGGGATTCATACATAGGGATCTTAAGTCTGACAATCTTCTTATATTTGCTGACAAATCAATTAAGATTGCTGACTTTGGGGTTGCCCGCATTGAGGTCAAACCTGAGGGAATGACCCCTGAAACTGGAACTTATCGATGGATGGCTCCGTATGTGAAATTGTTTTCTTTACGTTTTTAACATATTTAAGATTCTTAAAGTGCTTGTTAAGGTGCATAAGTTTATTTTTAGTCATTCATTCATATGCTTAGCTTTAGAAAAATTGATCTGTTAATTTTTTTCTCTGAATAGCCATGTTTTCAAAATATTGTCCTGCGTGTATATTGGAGTTTTTAAATTTTCCATTTCTCAAGTGTGGCCACTTGGTAGAATGTGTATATCATGTGTCCGCAGGAAGCAGAAATTTTCTGCTATCTACAAGGGGTGAAGAATGCTAGTTTCAGAAACAATTGTCTGGGTTGGCAATTCCTTTTAAATGTTGCTCTTGCGAGTGACTGCTTATGTTTGCACGTTAAAATTATCTCCTAGTTCAGTCATACACATTACAGCGCTATTAATTATATATACTGATTAAGTATTTTAGGATGGTAATTTCTTTAATTAATTCAACATGCTTCTTGGGGCTTTCCTATTTTCAAGCATCAAATGCATGATCAATACTGCTATATGTTTCCAAAGTACTGTAGGGCTCCTGTTATTAGGTTATACTGAAGAATCATCATGTAATTTAATAATGTGCTATATGAGCAAAGGCCAAAGATATTGAACTGATAACTGAATAGGCTGTTGAAATAGTATTTTGCAGCTTAAAATATGGCATACTAGTATCTTTAGTATTGACACGTAGATGGATTAAAGAGAATACAGTCCTTGACCTCTAGCTGCTTTAATAAAATTGCATAATAACCTTGATAATTACAAACAAGGAAAATTTTAGTTGAATTGGTGCCTAAGAACATTCCATCTTTGTTACAAGGTTATTAACTGGGAGCAAGTTTATCTGTTGAGCATTCACAGATTGCTTTCAAATTCACTATAAGATTTACCACGTTCCTGGTTTCATGATGGCATATATCTATTTGGAATATGTTGAGTCCTCTCATTGTTTAACTTCATAGATGCAGCCATCATCACGTATTCATGCTGGACTATATGAACTATCATTAAGATGAAATAACTTATTGGTTAACAATTTTTAAGTGATAGGTTTGTTCTATTATTCCTTGTGTGTTTGCTCATTTCTTGTGTTAACATCTTTTTCTATGTTGCCTTCACGCAATTATGGAAGTTTATATGAATTGAACACTATTTTCCTTGTTCAGTTTTTGATGTGCAAATTCATTTGTTAGGCATGAATGCTTGTAGGCAGCTTGTTTAGATTTGAATGTTATTTATTTTTTTAAGAACTTGTGTTACTTATATGTGTGAATAATTCTGAAGTTCTAGATTGGAACTCTTCTATTTTATGTTTTTGTTTTTAAGAATACTTTTTGATCCAAATTCCACATTGCACAAATTAGAGGGGCAATTAGTCTGATAATAGTGGTAACACTGGCTCATTATAATTCTTATAAAATATTCTAAGTGTTGAATGAATTTGGTTTCTTTTGGATTTTCAATCTTGTCATACATAGAAAGCTGCTTGCTTTTATTTAGGATGCATGGGCATACTTAGGATATAAACATTTTTATTCTCATGATACTGCAAGTGGTTTTAATTTGAGAACTTCTATGCAAGTGCTTTGCTTCCCTTTGTCTTATTTTGTTTTTTTTCACTTGCATCCTTAAAAAAAATCCCAAATTTATAATTCATAGTAGTTATCTTTTTTTAGTGTAGTTCATTTTGTTATTATGCAATCCGCTCAGCTTTTTCACTAGCAAAGGATTTGTGTGATGATCTGGTGATGTGTGATGGTTTTGTGTGGTTGGTCAAAAGATTTATAGAAACTTTTTTTTTTATGATAAGATATATAAGTGTAAGGATACAGTGTCATGATAACATAAATTGAACTGGAACATTATTGCTTCTGGGTGGTAATTGAGCACTTGCGAGGAACAGTAGTGTTTGTGGTAATTGAGCCCCATTATTGCTTCCGGTGAGTTGTGTGCTGACTCGTACAATACCTCTTGTAGAAAGAGAGACTTAGAATTGGAATTACTGAAAAAGTTTGGGTTGTGTTTTATACAGACAAATCGATCTCAAAAAGTCACCTGATTAGGTTTTGATGTAAGATAAGAGAGTAATTGAAATTATTGGAAAAGAGGTGTGGAGTGAAGTGGGACTTGCAACTATAGAGAAACAAGTGTATCAGGTAAATTTGATCATTTTATGATTCTTTGGATGTGGATAATGGGAAATTGGTGAGATGAAAGATCATAATTTTGGGGAGAGAACCAGGATTTTATTTTTAAGTTTTATTTGTGCTAGGAGTAAGGAGCATCTGTCCCCTTGATTCTTACCATGTCTTGTTAAGTATATTTTGGTACCTGTAGATATTCAACATATTGCCACTACTGGACCTCCTATGAAACAGGACTTTACAGGGAGCAAAAAGATCAAAGCAGTTTAGGTTGTTGATTAGTAGAGATGAAGAAATATTTCTACAGACACTACGATGCTATGTGGCCTTCTCATAGGAACATGAGTGATCCCATATTGGCTTCATAAGAAGGATATGCATCTCATATGCTAAGCTAGTATAAGTGTATAACACCATCTTACTTGAGAAAAAGGATCTCGTGATCTAAAAGTAAAAACTTTTTATTGTCTAGAAAATCTAAGGAGGTAATTTAAAGTAACAACAATTTTCTTTTAAAACCTTGAAGGATATTTGTTTGTGTTTTGTTGTTGACAATAGAACTAGAAAATGGTATGGTTGCAAAATAAAGTTTTTAATAATCACCAAGGCAGGACACACTTTATGCCCTTCAATCTTCAAAGTGCAAATCCTTAAGTGGAAGAAACCAACTTTAACTAATTATGCTAATACTAGCCACAGGTTCCCTAGGAGAGGGATAATTTAGATTGATTAATTGATGTGTGTATCACCTAACACCTAGTGGTTCATATGTCCACAAAGAATATAGTGACATTTTTTTTCAGTTTATAGAATTGATAATTTTATTCTCAGACTAATTACATTAGTCTTATTGTAGATCCAAATGAGGAGCAATCTAAAAGCCACTGCCTTTTATGTTTCCATCCCATTCTCTTTTAAACTTATTTGTTCATTTTCTTGTTTCTTTTTGGTGCTTCTGCATAAACATTTGCTGTTGAATGTCTTTTTACTGAACCTTCTGTTCTCAGGGAGATGATACAGCACAGACCTTACAATCAGAAAGTTGATGTTTATAGCTTTGGCATCGTTCTGTGGGAGCTTATAACGGGGATGCTCCCGTTTCAGAATATGTCTGCCGTGCAGGCAGCATTTGCTGTTGTGAACAAAGGAGTACGCCCGGTTGTACCACAAGATTGCCTCCCTGCACTTGGCGAGATCATGACCCGCTGCTGGGATGCTGACCCCGATGTACGCCCCTCCTTTTCTGAAATTGTCAGGATGCTCGAAAGTGCACAAGAAGAAATTATGAATACTGTTCGTAAGGCACGTTTCCGCTGTTGCATGCAACCAATGACCATCGACTGAGAAGGGTGGCAAGTAGATGAATCAGAGGAAGTTGTTGAAATGTGGGTTTGGTCGATTCACCTTTATAAGAAGGTTATAATTCATAACATCCTCATGGAAATTCTAATGCTACCAAGTGAGACAGGTTGTTCCCTGTCTTTTTCTGAACATAGATAGTTCACCTTGTTGTTGTATAGGTACAGATGAAAATTGCTAGCTTAAGGTCCTACATCTAGATTGTCTGCTTGACTCAGGTTTGCAACTTGCGGAAATCATGATAGCTTCCATATGCTGTACTGCTGAAACACAAAACCAGATCGTTCCTATATTTGTGTATTCTGTGTTTACCTGCGACGTTTTCTTCGGTTTGTCCGATCGATAAGGCGACAGTCAAGTTTGTTTAGGTTGTAGTTGATATTATTTTGAATGAATGCAATGAGAAGCAATGTGGAGGTTCTGAATTTGCAACTGTTGTCTGTCTTCATGCAGGTAATCATGCAATATTATTTTTCAACAGAACACTGCTTTGAATGTTGACAGTCTGCTGTGTATTACAGAAGACAGAAACAGGAAGAAAAATCCCCAACTTTTTTTTCTACCTAAAGCAATACAAGTTTTTAGTGTAAGTTGGAGAGAGTAGAAGAATGGAATGTGATGCTACTAATGAACATACCAGAATTTGGCACAGGAATTATGGACATGCTGCTAAAAAATCTATCTGATACTTTGGTATTTGGTAGATCACATGGATCTTTGTTCTACCAAATACTTCTAAAAACTGGAGTTGTTTAATCATTTTCACTCTCAATATAAAGAAGCCCTTTTGCCAATGTCCAACTTTGATGACTTTCTGATCCTTGATTTGGGGTTCTGTAAACACCAGGCAACTCAAAAAAAAATCTGTAGTTGATAAACCCTTCTACAATTGACTGAAATATCACTTGGCCAAAATTATTGTCTGATCAATTTCCATAATCAATTTATAATAATAGTTGTTTATGGGTTTCATAATTTGTTTTCTAATCATTCATATGCAATGCCTGATGGAGTACTTGCCAGCCTCTCCACCACGAGTGCTTTACAGTCTAAAGAGCCCTTAAATAGCCACCAGTCACTTCAGAAACAAAAATAATAAGCTCATAATCCAATCATCACACAAATTAATGAGCTGTTAAACCCCTGCATCAAACTACCAAACTAAGACAAGATCCCCAATGTTCTTCAATGAATGATGAGAACTCTATATATGAATATGAAACGGATGAAGACCGCCTCAAAGAACTTTATTTGGTCTCCAGCTGAAAATGATATTAGCAACGCCAAGGTAAGTGATCACCGAAAATTTCCAGTTCCTATGATTGATGAAATCAGTAAGTACATCAGAAGAAATGGGGCCAGCAAGATAACAAATAATGCAGGAGAGTGGAACATATGTACCACATTAAACAAGATAAACATGAATATAGAAAAAGTACCTCGCATTTCACTCTCCATGAAATGGTCATCTGGATATGAGATATGTGTATGAGTGGAGTCAAGAAAACATTGTTTTCTAGCTGAAACTCCTAAATCTGGCTAACATGGTTTTGTAGGTTGAACAGCGATGGCCGGGGGAGGAGCAGCTCAGTCTTTTGCCAGGAGACTGTCGTTGCATTTGTTGGATGGATTGCAGAATGAGATGTTATAATGTTTGCATTGACAGATTGGAAATCAGAAATAGGTTCCTGGTATGGAACCCAAGATTCAGTTGACAGAAGAGAGAGAGCACGTTGAAGATCCAGTGCTCCATCCAAGTTAGAAGCAAAAACAGGTGCTCCAGGACCTGTAAAGCATAGAAGAGATTTATGGAACTATCACATCTTAATAAAGTAAAACATTATGATGAAAAATATCACATTTTTATGGAAAGAGACAACAAACAATTGTCAATCAACTATAGCTACCATCTAGAATCTATATCTTTATTCAAGTGGCATGTTGACGTTAGACATGATCAAATAACCTAGACTAAAGATCTCGACGAGTATTAGTGGCTAACCTCATCTGAATAAGATTTTAAAAGGACTTTTTAGTAGCCTCATTGAATCGTCAAGTCACAAATGCACATAAATCACTGTTCAATTTTGAGTATTCTAATAGCCAAGTTGATTGCTAATACACAAAAACATTGAACTGATTGATACAACCAGCAAGTACCATGAGAGTCCACTGAACAAAATCTGTCTCTGGGAATAAATTCTGATCTCAGTTCGATAGGAATCTCAAGAAGCAGAAACTCTGAAAGAAGAATTCCCCTAAATCCTTGAGGAAATTATACCTCGATAAGACACGTGAAGTGGCTTTCAAAAGCAATTTGTCCTTCCGATATATTTAAATACCAAGGATAAAGATTATGAAGATAAAAAGGATATCTTAAATCATGTCTAGAGATACGTTTTGTTGGAGGTTGAACAAAACAAGAGGATCATAAGTTAACCAGCTATATGTCCAGAGAACATACATTGCAGATAAGCAGGTGAATGGTTATCCGTGCATCAATGTCCACATAAACTTGAGTCCTTTACAGATAAGATAGGGGCTAAAGGCTTATTACCTTTGTTGGTGGCCTCCGCATTTGTGCCCTTGAAAGGCAAGAGCCCATCCCAATCATGGTTAACTCTGGAAACATTTTTTGATATTCCATTGCTGGGAAAATGCAATTGTTCATTAATGTCTCCTGAATTACCAAAATTTATCCAACGCCCTTGAGATGGAATAAGTTTGAAGCCACCAGAGTCATCCCATGTGGAATTGGCCATGTTTGTCACATGATTAAAAGGATCTCGACCAAACATAAGATTCATCTGTTGTCTATCATCTGTAGCTACCATCACAAATATTTCAACAAGTAGAAGGCATGTACATCAAAATTTAACAAATGTCCACATTAGCAGAGAGACAATGATGTACAGGAGCACACAACGAAATCCAAGAATGAGAGGTTTTCCCAATCAGTAAACATTTCAGGGTAATAACTAAGATGTGCTTTAGCAGCTAGGAAATCTAGCTACATAGTGGTGTCACATGGAAGATTTTGTTCAGGACAACCTCCATAAACAATATTTACATAACCAGGCATTTGTACTTTTAAAACAAATAACTAAACATCCCTATTCTAATCAGATACTGAATAGACATTTTTTCAGCTGCTAGTATGGTTCCTCTTCAGTTTTAAGCTGATTACAGTGGTGGGAGGTCCATAGCACAATACAACAGATCAAACTGTTTTTCATGCCCAAAACAAGTATGATATTATCCAGATAAGGTTTGCAATGGGACACAGCTCAATGCAACTAGCATAACTCCAAAAGCTCATTGAACAACATTTTATCTTTGGTTTTTGGAGTCCCTTGATTGAAGAGATATAGCCTGAGTAGTACTTCCCCAAGGGATCAATTCTGAGATGGATCATGAGTGACAAGCTAAGTTATTTTCCCATCTATTTTTATGAGAGACGATATTTTCTTCCAAAATTAATTAAGCATCTAAGTGTTTTTGTACCTAAATCAGAGCTGATTTCAACATGTAAACAAATTCAACATCAACACTATCCTACCAACAAAGGATGATATTTGGATATATTAGCTATTATGATTCATCTAGAAAAAAAACCTACAAAAGATTAATTTGTTCCTTTGTTATGCATGTTAACATTTCTCTCACTCAAATAGTTTAAAACTGAGATTTGACATAAGTTGGATTGCAAAGAATAAAAAAGCTGGTGTTGCAACAAACTCTAAGTTAAAGATACATCAAAACTGTGCTAAGTTACGCCAACATAACACAGGTCTTTGGTAATAGGATCAAGGAATGAGGCTGAGTTAGGGAACTAGGCAAAGTGAAAGGGCCAAGAATCTCAAATGTGAACACTTTGAGACAGTTTAGATTGAGAATCAGCAATAGCAATTGTGAAATGATATGCTACTAGCCCATGTAATCTTCAGAACAAAGGAGATGGAACTACAGTTATTGCTACCTAAGAACAAAACAGTGCATCTAAGCTGAGGCAAGTTATATAGCAATCAAAAGACTAATTAAACTTCATTAACTAAATGCAGAGAAAATGTCCTTGAATCTTGAATTTGGAAAGGGCATCACCACGATTTGGCTGAAGTAAATGTTACTGTCCACACCAAATGGTCATGATTCCCGTAGCAATATGAAATAAATTCTAAGAAAGGTGAAGAGAAGCTATTCATTTAGTGACCAGAGGCAACTATTACCATAATATGATGCAGAAAATACTGAAGAACCAAATTTGATTGTCTCTGGCTGCGGTTTGCGTCGCCGTGCATTATGGTCAAATAGGCGTCTTCGGCAGCTTCGCTTTTTCTGATCAAACTCGGATAAATCATGAAACCTGGAAGATTACAAAAAGTACAGTCAATATATTTGGATCAGACAATATTTGTTACCAACTGATATGTTTATGAACAACTGATCCAACAAATTGTGCAGTTACAAAGCACCAGAGACTTATATAAAGTAGCATCGCCGATCCTCCTTTACCAACCTCCTTTAACAACTAATGTACCTTCACTTCTAATATCAACATATTCAAAACATTTAAGAAGAGGACATTATTTTAAGAAGCAATACTGTTTAATAAGCAATGAGTTTTTGTTACATAAATGGGAAAGAAGCATGCACCATCTTAATTAATCCGCCTCACCCCTTCCCCCTCTTCTTTCTTTTAAAAAACAAAAAAGTAAATAAAAATGGACTTCCATGATAAAAAAAGTCAACTTGACTTGATTCGGGAAACAAAAAGTGTTTCACCTGCTACACTGTTGACAGAACCTGCATGTCTGACCAGCAACTATAACCTTAGGAGACTTAGAATGACCCTCACAGACTCTATGCTTGCGATGATAATCTTTAACTGCCGAAAGATCAACATGACAACCTTCAACTTGGCAATGTGAACTCTGCATGTTCTGCTGTGATACCTTTGGTTTCTTTACCAAACCAATGGATGGATTCGTAGAAGCTAAAGAAGATGAGTTTGTGCTATGAATTCCTCCTTCGAAGTATGTCCTCTTGCCAAGCTTCAGCTGGGTACGAGGTTCCTTAGGGCCCTCTACGGCCACCACCTTATGCAAAATTCCGGTTTCCACCATGGCTAAGTCTTTATTCACCTTTAGGATCTCAGGAGGTTTTTCCACCGAGTCAATGATGAACCTTAAAGCTCCGGTCCCTGCTTTTGATGGAAAACCTATGGATGATGAAATAGAGCTTCTTGATGAACCATTACCCAAGTCTGAGCCAGGACCGAGTCCACCGACGGATGAGTATACAGATCCATTGCCATTCCCATAGCTCCCATGGTTATCAACAACTTCCCATTCACATCGCTGTGCAGGTTTAGAAATCTCACCTTCTTTTCTGCTGAATAGAGAAAAATTTTCCCAGTCCCGATGGAAAGGAATCTTGGAAGTCAAATCCATGCTACAAGAAACACTTGCAGAAAGGTGTTGACTAATATCCTGCCCATGAAACATAGAAGCAATCATTCCAATTTTAAAGATGATGAATTAAACAAGCAAATACACCAAAATTTTCAGAAGTTCAATATGATCCAATTAAAACAAAATTTTGGTAGAACATCTTGTCAAGAAGAAAACAACTAGAACTAGAAATATTTATCAAATCATATTTAAGGAAAGAAACAAATCAAATAGACATTTTGGAAACAAAGAAAATGGAGGAGAAAGCGCAAGTTCTACCTCTGGTTATCTAGCTAAGGACATTAACATCTCTGCAAACCTGTACGATCGGAAAAGATCCTGCTTAAAACGTGTGCACTTCCTACTCAACTCTCAAAACCTGACAACCTTCAGAGAAATGCTTAGCCCTGAAGCATATGGTCTCTCCTTCAGTTCCTAAACATTCAGCCAAGAGAAATACACTCACAGGATAAAGGATTACCTCCCTGTTCTCATTGACTTAGTTCTGCCATGAATCATATATAAGGGCCGTTCCACCAGTGATCAGGTGGTCTCACTAACACAATCCTTTGTTCACAGATGAAGATTTTTCCCTAAGACACTCTCTCGTCTTTAATTTTCAGCTCCACTGAATTCGCTGTATTTTCTGATCCAAGAGGTCTGCTCTTATTTTATTATGACTTTTCACTCCTCCCCATAAAAATCTAACAAACTTTATTTTTCTGACAAAAAAAGACCTTTGACTGGTCTATCATATGTCAGCCCTTCACATACCAAGCAAGTCGACACGATCAAACCTTTAACAAAGAAGAGACAAAGCCTAGATAAGGCTACAAGAAGACGTGATCTCCATCCAACGGGGTTCTTCTCCCACAAAACCAAGGTCGTAAGCTACAAATCTTGGACTTCTCTCATCACACATCACAGACGAGATTTTAAAGAAAAGGTCTGTCATCCAAAGCTTGTTGTTGTTGTTGTTGTCTGTCATCCAAAGCTGCATTGTGATAAGTCAATACACCGCAAAAGTACATCGAAATCCATCTGAGCACCTTTTCTTTCCCCCAAACAAGCACATAATTTCTGACACAAAGCACCCGGAGTGATTAGGGCTGTCAGTCATTGGTACCTTCTTTTTACCGCCCCACTTCCGACCAATACATTATAATCCACTGGCTTCTAGTTTCCCGATCAAATTCCCACCTCAAATCTAATGAATAAAAGAAAGAGAAAAACATGGGGCTCAGTTCCAAGAAAAAAGATTCCTTTTTTATATCTACCTGGGGCTCAGCTCCAAGCTTCGATCTTCTTATTTTAAATGATTCTCTTGCCCCACTCCTATTCTAACAAGTTAAAGCGGTCTCCATTACCACCCATGCAAGGAAGAAAGAGTCAAAGAAGAAAAAACCAATACTAGTACAGAATTCGCCAAACAATACCAATCTTCGCCAGTTCTCCTGGAATCTCTTCTTTCCCCGTATAAATGGCAAAAAAGGGGAAGTGGATTGAACAACAAGAAGAAAGGAAACTCAAGCTTCTGCGTCGTCAAAGACGACCCACTTATTGCTGCCTCCTTGGATTCAACTCAGGGAACAGCAAAAACCAAATTTACTGACCGTGCGCGAGGCGTATAAATAAGTTCAAAGCCAAACGGTAGTCGATTGCTTACAGATCGCGCAAGCCTTTCTCCCCCGCCGACCTCTCCGGAATCGAAGGATCGCTTGAAGCCGACACCGACCGATGCTTTAAATGGAACGAGAAGGGATCGAGGAGGGCGGCGAAGGCACCATGCGCGGCGGTCGCGCGGGGAGGAGTGACGGGGTTTTAATGTCGAAAGCAGGGTAGAATGGGAATTGGATGGAGTAAATGCCGCATAGTTTATGTTTAACTTCAATAATGCCACTGCCGTTTTCCACGGCCCGAGACGAGGAGTTGCTGCGAGTTCGGTCCTGGTCACCCTTTCCGCCACTTTCTTACTCGGGTGGGACCCGCACACGGTTTGGTCAGAGAGGGAAGAAATAAGTGGTAAGAATCGTCTGGGTTATAGATCGGGGCCTCGTTCATACCGTGCGCGAAGCGATCCACATATCCGGTTTAAGTCACGACTCCAGCCACGCGCGTCACACTTACGGCTCTCTTCGGTAGCGAGTTACGTCGTCTACCGTACCCGTTTCCTGATTGGCTCCAACACGTGGGACCCATCCGACGGAGCGTCGATTCTGTAACGTCACGTGAAAATCACGTGACACGTCGAACACATTAAATTTGACCTTTAAGTGAATCAAACATCACATTATACACCCAACGATGGGATGTCTCAAATCGCCATCCGAGACCCGCAAATCCTACCCACCACTTAGGGTTACAGTCTAAGCCAACGTAGGAAAGCTATTTTTGATCCGACCTCTGTATTTAATAGTAATTGTGTCAATTAGATATTTTCATATATAAATAATGTCTCCATCATGACAGATTTTATTGACATTAGAGTACTTGAAGTTGATCTCCATGATTCTAATATCGATTTGATGTGAATCATGAATCAATTATTATTAAATGATTAATAATTAAATTGGGATTGTTGAACGCAAATGTGAGTTGTGATCAATTAAAATGTGGCGCATACTTCATAATAATGATTATTATTATTATTATTATGAGTTGTGTCAATTGTATTGGATTGGATGTATGCGGACATATGAAATGTCTACTGTGATTCGATGGCATTGTCATGTCAAGGCTCAAGATCGTATGATGATGCATATTATTTTACCAAACCAAGTAAGGAAAGCAATCATTATCCTTTAACCATGTTGGTCAACTAGCATGATTTGACCAACTAAGTGACATCCTTAGTTGTCTTATATTTTCATAAAGATAGAAAAAAAATATTATATGAATGTATTATATTTTCAAAAAGATAGAAAAAATTAAGAGAAAATAAGAAACTAAAACACTATCCAAAATTTAAAAAATTTAAAAATATCAAAATAATTAAAATAAAAAAAACTAGTGACATGTGTCCATCTATATTGTATTAAAAAATTGAATAATTCTGAATGGTACATTGCATACTAGAAAAAATTTTGGAACAATTTTTCTTCATATATTGTGGACCTATTTAGAAGCTGAAATATATATAAAAAAACATAGGATGCATTATATTTTGATAAAAATAAAATAAAACACTGATCAGATGCTACATAATTTTTTAAAAATATATAAAAATCCTAAAATATAAAACAAAAATATCCATCTATATTGTATTGAAAGCTTTTCTAAAAATTTGAGATCATTTGAAACAATTGGACTATTTTTAAATTTTCTTCGAAAATAATGCATCACATATTAGGAAAATATTTTTGTGGATCAACTTCTCTTACTATGTTATATTGTGGATCTATTTAGAAACTCAAATGTCAAAAAGTGTTGCATTGATTCATTATATTTTGATAGAACTAAAAGATAGGAGAAAATAGAAAAAATAAAACATTGTTCAGATGTTAATTTTTTTTTAAAAAATAAAAATAAAAAATCTCCTAAAATGAAAAACCAATGGCATATGTCCATCTTTGTTGTATTCAAATCTTATTTTAAAATTTTCAGATCATTTTGAATAGTGCTTCAATGTGATGCACTATTTTTATTTTTCAAAAAAATATATCACATATTAGGAAAAAAGATTTCTAGACCATCTTTTCTACAGGAAAATAAAAAATTCACCCTATATATAATTTAATTTTAATAAAATAATATAAAATAATAATTTTAAAAGTTTCAATCAACAATCTCTTCCACCAAAAAAAAAGTAAGAATAAGCAAAATCCACAAAAGTAAAAAAAAAAAACACTTTAATTCATATAAAAAATAAGCAAAATAAATAAATAAATAAAATAAGATGCGTGGCTATCACGTGAAAATTCAATAAGAAAAAACACTGAACAATATAATGTCAACAAATATAAATCAATAAATAATAAGAAAAAGCCACTGACACTCGATCAGGGCAAATTTGATAAGTTGTACCCGACCCGACCCGTTAGTGGCGGTAAAAACGGGTCGAATCTGATCACCCGATTCGACGAGTCACGTTGCGTATCATGGGTTTCCATCGCACGTGGGAAGGTTCGGCCCTTCTCTTACGCTACCGGCATAAATGGCTTCCGGATCGAGCGACGCCTTTGTCGGAGGACGTCTCTCTCGTGCTTCTTGGAGCTCAAATCCCTCTCTCTCTCCTTCCTCCAACGTCGAAGCGCGACTTCTCACTCTTCTTTTCCGATCGTTCCTTCTGGAACCTAATCTCTTTCTCACCTCCATCCGGTTCCGCGATAATTGGGAGAGGGGGCAGGACTCGCCGCGCACATGGAGGACAGGGCGGCCGATAAGCAGTCGTCGTACACCTACTGGGTGCGTGAGGCGACGGAGGACGCCGCCCCGCGCCCCGTCCCCCGAAAGCTCACCGCTGACGACCTCTCGAAACAGCCCCGCTCTGCTGTCTTGGGATCCGTCTGGAATCAGGCATGTTGCTTTCCTCTCATCTTTATTCGGTGTCATTCGACGAACGAGTAAGGGAAAAAGGGGGCCTTTATGTAGTTGCAGAGGTCCAAATGGTTTTTGTTACAGGATCTGGGGGTGGCTCGATTTTGCTCGCCCATGGTGATTTTGGATTTGTTAAGGGTCCGAGGCACGCCAATTGCTGTTTAAGGACGTCAAATAAAATGAGAGGAATCATTATATGTTTATGCTCATCGGAAGCATGATATTCTTTACATAGTCGGTTCAAGATTTTCTGTGTCCATCATCTCTTATAACCTCTGCTGACATCCTACATCGCTTCTTGAGCTGGTCGCCAAGGTCGGTCAAGCCCTCGATATCAAGGTGTTGGCGCCGGAATGTTGATCAGTGTCTCTCGGCCTGGACGTCGGTTGGCAGCTCACCGTCAGGATGTTGGTCGACGACTCCCAGGTCGGAATGCTCATGGCTCGAGGGTGGCCGCTTTCCTGCAAGGAATGCCGACCATGGGCTTTTATACTATGGTACGAGGGTCGATCGTACGTGAGCTTGGCGTGGCGGCCGATCCTTGAGAGATGAGATGGTACCTTTGTGTGGCCGCTGTCCCGGGACATGCGGAATGACGCCATGCGACGCTGTCCCGAGCTTTCCGGGATGGGACGTATCGAGCACGCCTTGGTACAGGGCTCGACGCGCGTGGGGGTGCTCCTCTTGCTGACTTGGTTGTAGCGTGGCGTGGGATTGACCATGACATGTCTTGTACCCAAAATATGCCTTATCAGTAATATCGTCAAAAGTTTTTCTTTGGATGCTTTCATCTTCTTTATGCTTTTGGTGTATTTTTATGTTCGTCAGAAGCATAATATTCTTTAGATAGTAGGTTCAAGATAATTAAGTCCAAATTTCTGGACACGTTCTCGAGTTTTACTGCTGTTTAGTAACAAACAAACATATAATTAAGTCTAGTCACTAATTGGATTGATACTTGAATTATCTTAATTTTTAACTACTGTCCAAATGATATATGCTCTATGATATAAATGTCAAGTCTTGTCAGATTATTTTTGAAGATGTCAGCTGGCTTGGTTGGATAAGAGGATCAATTCAAATCCCATTTGGCCATCGCCTTGTTATCTTTTTGTATCTTCTCCCTGGCTTCAGATCTACTTTATATGTTCTAGCATAATATTCCTCATCCATTTGATTTTTCTGATCTGGTAGATTTGGCTAAGTTAAGTTGGATGAGTAGTCACTTATTTTGCACTTCTTTTACTGCATCCTCTCTGATTCAGTGGCTTGCATCTGTCTTGCAGGCTGGCACTTGGGAGGAGAGAAACCTTAATTCATGGGCAAGCAATAGAATAAAGGTCTGATATCATTTTTCCTAGGTCAATTGTATCTTCAGCAATAAACATTGGTTAAGACTTTTAGTACTATGTTTTCTTCTTTTGCTTGATTCTACTTTATCATTTTTCTATCTTAAATATAAATAATATATTGTACTGCAGGAGCTGCTTAAGTCTTTAGGCTCATTGGAGTTTTCCAGTGGCAAAGCCTATATAGAGGAAGTGACTAAATGCTCAGGCGATGTGAGTATATTGTATCACCATGTATAAATTATTATAGTTGATTTCATATTTTATACAACATCTTGATCACTTGAAAATTGATTCCTCTGTTGTCATTGATAACCTTAAAACTTGAACTCTTTACTGGGAGATATGTTTCTAGACATTCAAGAATTCTCATATTTTGATTACTATTTGAGTCTGACCTACGGAGAGTACCGTTTTAAAGTTCACACTTGGTTCTATTTAGTATAGAGTAAGACTGAATAAAAGCTATTACATAGTTGAAGTTTCTATTTAGCATACAGTAAGACTGAGTAAAAGCTATTACATAGTTCAGTTTCTTTCCAGATGAGATATTTGTCTCCACTTGTGATGTTCATGCAAGACTAGTACATAATCCTTTGCAAATGTACCTAGTGTTCAGCTTCAAAAGGTTGAAATGCTTGATGTAAACTAGAATAAACGAGGGGAAGCTAGATGTTTAGGTTGCACAAAATGCAGCTTTTTTTTTCAAGAAATGGCATGTTCCCATCCTAAGTGGCCTTTTTAAAGAACAGACAGTGGAAATAATCTAAAAATTGAATCAACCATCTATCTAGCTGCTGCTTGGAACTTCTTTAAGTGCTATTTTTAACCTTTAGTGTGAAATTTGCTCGAGTAACTTAAAGGTAGTTATCAGACTTTTTTGATATGGTGTCTTGTGATTGAGCAGGCATTTTTGGTTACTGTGCGAAACAAGAAGAGAGTTGGTTACACTTATGAGGTGACTATAAAATTCAAAGGTATACCATCGAGTTGATGCTAGATGATGTATCTCTCCGACTTTCTTTTGTTTTTATTTTCTATCTGGTGCTCACTGAGCGAATGGAAGCAGGAGACTGGTTGATCCAAAAGGAGAATAAGAAGATCAAAGGCCACTTAGATATTCCAGAGTTCTCATTTGGTGAACTCGAGGACTTGCAGGTACATGCAATGACACTGTTTGAGTTATGATTTGGTAATAATGTATTTTAGAATCAGTTTTATATTTAGGATATTGGTGTATTCAAGTTGGTGCACAATCGTGGGCTGGCCTTTATATAACTTTTTTATTTCTAGATTCAAATAAGGCTCAGCGAAGACAAGGATCTGAGCACAGACGATAAAATGAAGATATGCAATGATCTAAGATTGTTTTTGGCTCCCATCCGCAAGAAACTGGAGGTGTTTGAACAAGAGCTGAGGGATAGGTAACCGGACTACCATTGCTGGATGACCCATATAACTTGTAAGATCTTGTCAACGATAGAATATAAACATTTCTTAGTCTCACATGTGTTGGTGAACAAATGTATCGTGGCTGATGAGTTAGCATGACTTGGTCCACGGGTCGATGCCGAGGTTGGCCGGGCCCTTATGACGGGGTGTTGATCAGCATTTTTCGGACCCAAAAGTATACTTTATCAACATGGATGTCAAACTCTGTGCCTCGTAAATCTTTGAGGCGAGTTTTTTTTGTTATCTGCTTATCTACATGTTTTAACAACTATTCAAACTCTTGGGATATATATTTTTTTCCTTGTGTTCGCTCCTGTAGACTGTAATGGACATGCTATGATTCGAGGTATATGGACTGTTGGTGATTAAGATTACAGTTAATATTTCTTGGCTAATTGATCTAACTATGGAGGATGGATATGCTAGAAAAGTTTAATGTAATAACCTCCTGGCCTATGGATTTCTTTTACTGCTGATTGGACCAATCCAACTAGCACCACCCCCCACAGCTCGGCCTTAGACAAATATGGGAGGAAGGTTCTTTGGATGGATTCTTCCAGCAATGTGCGTAGGTAGTATAAATGACATCTCTGTAGCATTTGCGTGGAGAAAGAGCCAAATGGAGGAGGATCTTCGAAGAACAGGGGATGGCATATTCCGGTGGAGACCTGCGCAGCGTTTAGACGCGACCAAAAGGCGTTCGCTGCTGCTGCTGCTGCAGCAATGACGACTTTTGGTGACGCTTCGGGGGCCAAAAGCGACGCGGCGAAGCGAAACGAGTGACTCGTCGCCATGGTGGAGCTGCGCTGGTATCTTTCCCTGCCCTTGCCTTCATCATGTCTTCCCACTTGCGTCTCTTCCTCACTCGTTCCCTCTTGTTTCTGGCTCGGGTCTTTTTGAGGACAGCGACGGGGAGGGTGAATGCGGGTGCTCCGCGTCGAGCACCTTAGCTGCATGTGGGGACACACGGGATTTGTTTACTTCAGCGACAACATCTGATGGTGGTCTCTCCTTATGCCAAGATAGCATCGGTCCTCCATGGGGATTCTGACGGTAGCGTCCATCGTAGCCTAGTGACTTCCATTATTCTTCTTAGCCTGTTCCTTTCTGAGTTCAAAGCATGAACAGGCAAACTACCAAACAGATGCAGTGCATTCCTTTCATCACACTGGGACTGCGAACAAGTTGCTGATGGATTTCGTCTTTCTCCGTCTCCTTTTCGGTGGCCCGGGAGGGTGGGGGTGGGGGTGTGGGGAGAGCAGGGCAGGGCCCACCAGGATCATCGAATCGGGTGGTGGAGAACGACCTCAGCGTCATCATCCAGCTCTTATTGGCCGTGGGGTTTGAGTCCCATTACTTTCTTTCGGTATCACCATCTCCATTAGTTCCTTTATTAGGTCTCACTTTAAGTCTTTTTTACACATATTCTCTTGTCAATTGCAGAATTATAAATTAGCCCTTCCAATCATCTTAATACATAGCAACTTGTTGAGATTCTAATTTATATTAATATTTTTTAATAACTCTTTATGTTCCTAAAAATATTTATTTTATATTTATATATTGACGTAAATAAACTAATCGTAATCATAGATAAAAATTATTAACCTATTTTTTATTCTAATATATATAGGAATTATAATGATAGATATATTATTTTCAAACGTACAAGGATATATATATATATATATATATATATATATATATATATATATATATATATATATATATCTCATTATAATTGTCATTCTAAAAGTGACAGACGTCACATTGGGTGTGTGATGGGACTAAAATAATTTCAAATGTCGGTTGCCATAGTTGGAAGAGAGGGCATTTTGGGAATATCGAGTTTTCGTGTGTTTTCGCGTTCTATTTCAAGCTGCAGTCATTCACGTGCGGCGCAGATACGGGAGGAGGGAGGAGGGAGGAGGTGGAGGTGGAGAAGGCGGAGGCGGGACGGTGGCGCCAGCAGCAGTAGCTAAATATAGAGAATAAATAGCGATTGTTAGGGAGGGAAATAAAAGTCTCCTATGGGTTGCTGGCCGCATAGTTGGCGAGAGGACTCCTTGGATACATCTTGATCTCCCTCCTTTTGTAAGTAGAAGCTTCTCATCGTTGTTCTCTCTGCGAATTTTTTGTTTTGCTGTGGCAGATGGTAGATCTCGTCCAGATTGTGATTCCTTCTTTCACTTGAAATGAGGAGAGAAAAAAAGAGTATCTTTTTCTCTTTTTTTGAATTCAATTTGTTTTGTTGGTGGTTTGATGTCTTGGTAGTTGGTAATCACTGATTCCATGCAAGGTTGCCTACTTTGGAGGCGTTTCTATTAGTGAATATTGGCGAACTACGAGACCTATTAGCACTGGCGTCTGTTGTACTGGGATGGCGTGCTGTTCTATTAGCCCGCATGAGTCTCTCATCTATTCTGAAGTCCATGATTGATAGCTAATGGTATGTATTTGGAGAGTTTTGCATCTGGAGGATTAATTAGATGAGCTTCATTTTGGATGGGGATAATGGCTACAAAAAATTGGAAGCAGAGTGACATGTTCGTCAAGAAGCACCAGTGTATAGGAAAGGTATGATGTTGTGTCAGACCTTGTAAAGCTGACATAATATATAACATATTGTTACAATAAGGAATTAGGATAGTCTTTTTCATAAGCCATCAAGATCAAGGGGTTTAGCAAGAAGAAAGGATGGTTTGGGTTAAGAAGCTGTCACTAGAATGAGAAAATGATTGTGCAAACTGTGAAGCAACCCAAACTGGTGATGCTGTTGCACCGAGTAAAGATTACGTATTGGTATTGGCATGCAAGGCAGCAACATCAGATTTTTGTTTGCTTTAGGCCAAGTATAACTAAGAAAGATTTCAAGTGATAAACAGGGATGCTCATCTTGAAGGGGGATGATGAAAATGGACATCTTCATTTAGAATCAGACTGATAAGGAGGATTTGTATTGAAGGGAGTAGAAAGATTCCAGTTGGATTGATAAAAACATAATTGGGATTATAACTACTAAGATATGTTGTGGTTTCTCCCTCTAAAATGTTGAGTTTAGTACCATATCATAAGTTGAAGATGAAGCATGTCAAGTTTTAATTTCATTTAACAATTACAAATCTAAATGAAAAACCGATCATTTTAATAATCCCAAACTACCTCCCACTCTCTTGCGAGAATAAAAAGGATCAACTCAATTACTGAAACAAATTTGACTTGTACTAACAACTTAGTGAAGTTAAATTCTATGGATATATAGCATATGATATTTGATTTTTCTAAAATACTATGACAAGTAATATTGGACAGCATCCAAATATAGATGAGCTCTACACTTACCAATGCTTGGCCTTGGGGAAGACCAAATGTGCACAACCATTAATTTTGAAAGAGCACACATGTCTGCAATTTTTCAGCAAGGATGCACATACTTTAGCTATTAATTATTAGAATGTTGCTGTATATGCAGACATCTGCTCCTACTATCACCTCTTAGTCTATGTCATTTGATTCTTATACGTTGGTGCTTCATGTAATTTAATAATTCAAAGAATATCTTTTCTTCTTGCTAAGTTGGCTGATAAAGGTGATCATTTTGTAGGTTCGGAATCTCAGAGGACTGTCTATTCTTTTGTTCAGCTAGTGTGGGGGTACCATGTTTTATTAGTCAAATACCATGAGCAGCCACAGTTTGATTACAGTTAAACAAAATAATTCTCCCGAAGGAACAAAGCATCTCTGTCATTCTTCACCTTTATCAGTTCAGTTTAACAATGAACAAGACTGCCAAAAATTATCAAGATCCTCCTATGTCGAGACAGTGTTGCACAATTCATCCAGCTTCAGTAAGGACCTTCCTTTGCATACCAAGAAATCAAGCTCAGGGCCTGAACCAGGAAGTTCTTGTTCTTATGTATCTCATCCTCAATATCCAGAGCACATGTTTTCTCGTTCTTCTACATTTTGTACCAGCCTTTACTCTTCATCTTCTACTAGTTCAGAGTCATGTCAAAAACTTCAGAACTTACCCTTCCTTCCTCATCCTCCAAAATGTAAGCACCAGAATTCAGCTGTTCAATCTTCTAACTCTCCGCTGCAGTTTAGTGGAGATATAAGTGCAACGAGTGGTGAGGATGAACACACAGATGACTTGATGAAGGATTTCCTTAATCTCTCTGGAGAAGTTTCAGATGGTAGCATCCATGGAGAGAATTGTGGGAGTAGTGGCTTAGCACTTAACGAGCAAATAGAATTGCAAATTTTGTCTGAACAACTTGGCATAGCTATCACTGACAATGGGGAAAGCCCTCATTTGGATGTAAGTATTTTGTTGATTTCTTTCCGTTTTCTTATTCACCAGGGGATTTTAAATATCTTGTCGCCTCCTCTAATTAAAGTTCTTGGTATTTCTTCCTAAATGCTGAGCCTCCAACTTCAGGCCAACAATGTTAATGAGGAAAAGGGACTCAAATTAAGCCTATCTGAATGGTTTGGCCGGGAACTGCACACACGAGGGATGGTCTAGAATTTGGCTAAACATGAAAAACTGCTGTTTTTTTTTTCTTGACAAACAAATGTGACAATACTTTTGTGGAAGTTCTAGTCTAAGGATGTCCAATTGGGAAAGAATTTTGTTTCATATTTGACTCGCTGTTTCTTTATTTAGGACATATATGAGACACCACAAGTCTCATCTCTTCCATTGTCTGCCAACCACAACCAGACAGATCAGCCTTCAAAACCTCACACTAAAGTCCAATTGCATTCACCCCCCTCCATAAACCCAGCTTCAGCTGCAAATAAAACAAGATTAAGATGGACCTTGGAGCTTCATGAGCGATTTGTCGAAGCTGTGAACAAGCTTGATGGTGCTGAGAGTAAGTAAGCATTTTGTTTTCTTTCATCATCGCTGGATGTATTTTTCATCTCATTCATCTGTGTGTGTTTTCTCATGCAGAGGCAACTCCAAAGGGTGTGCTAAAGCTTATGAATGTTGAAGGTTTGACTATCTACCATGTAAAGAGTCATTTGCAGGTAATTCTGGTTAGGTAATTTCTCTCACATGTTAGATTGTACTGCAGAAGTCATTGTCACCATTTTATTCATACATGTTCATGACTTGCAGAAATATCGACTTGCAAAGTACCTTCCAGAGGCGAAAGAAGGTAATTCTGACAATAAACAGAGCGCACAATTATCTGTTTGTTGTATACTGTGCATGTTCAATATTGTTTTAGTAACATGCCAGTGTAAAACTTGTCAAACTTGAATGGGAAAGTCCAATTACATGGCCATTTGATAATTGGAACAAGTTCGCCATCTGTTCTCTGATGCTATACACAGTTAATATCCAAGTTGGCAATAGTGATGCACAAAATTGAGGATGACTCAAATTGATTATGACTGACTGCACCCATCAATCTTTTTTGGCTTCTTTCTTCAAGATGGAAATGGATATATAGACTTCAAACTATATGTTTCTTTAAGAGGAAGCATTTTGGAAGAAGTGAGTACAGTAGTTTGTTGGTCTTTATATAATTCAGAGTCCAACTTTATTTCTCCAACAACCAGGACAAACGGAATAAGAAAGTAAGGCATGAAGAAACTAGTTATGAACTATATTATCTGGATATACATCACTATCTAATTGCAGAGGTTTGATTTTTAGTACCATTGCAGTAAACTTGTTATGATATTTAATGCTTGATATCTTAACATGCTTATGAAGACAAAAAGGCTTCGAGTCGTGAAGATAAGAAATCATCATCATTGGTTAGTAATGATGGTGATTTGGCCAACAAGAGGTACCCCTATTTTTTCTTGTTATTACTCCACTTTCGAATATGCCATTGTAATCTTTTCTTTAAGTGCTTTAATTTTGTCTATCTTTTTGTCTCAATGATAGGAGCATTCAAGTCACTGAGGCTCTACGCATGCAAATAGAGGTTCAGAAACAGCTGCATGAACAACTTGAGGTAAGCATCGGGTGCTTGTGGCTCAGACTGGAGAAGCATAATTTACTTTTTGGTTTATTAATAAAGCTTTGGAAATCAGAATATCCTCAAACGAAAAGAGGTAATAGGCTATTTAAGCAGCACCATGCTTCTCTGTTTCTGAACCCAATGTTCTTCTTCTCTAGGTCCAAAGAGCACTGCAATTGCGCATAGAGGAAAATGCAAGGTACTTGCAGAAGATTCTTGAAGAGCAGCAAAAGGCAAACAATTCTTCTTCCTCCACGCAAAGGTTTAGCTCAGAGCCCCCACTGGAATTGCGTAGTCCCTTCACAGAGAAAGCTGATGCAAGAGTGGACTCCTCTCCACTTAACTCTGTGAAGCAAAGAGGGAATGAGTCAAATGACCGGGAGAGTGATTCTGAATCTGTTGAAGATAGTAAAAGGATGAGGCTGGATGTTGAGCATATAAGACCTTCCTAATGAGAGTCTAGCCGAGGGTACCATCTTCAGATAGCTTCTGTTGTCTATAAGAATCTTCATGTCATTTTCTTTCTATTAATTTCCCAGTTATTGCAGGGGGTTGGAGTGGATCAGATTTCGAGTTGATGTACAGTATTGTGAAAAATGAAATTAAACTGAGGGACCTGGATTTGCTAAACCTTTATGAGTGTCCTTGCATTCTCAGATAAATGATGAATGCATCATTTTGCTCCACCTTGTTCTTCGCAAAGGTCAGGAAAATTAGATAAAATCATCCTCCATTGTGCCCCGAGTGTTAAGTTCCTCTTCCATCATGTAATCCAATCTATATGTTATGTCAAATTTAGAGTCCAACAAGTGAGGGTAGTGTCTTGCAGTTTTTATAATTATGAAGCATGGCTAAGTGATTCTACTCATACTAAAATAATATAATTTTTATTTTTATAACTATTACAAAAAAATAATTATTTTTTATTTTTTGAAATCTGGGGGGGTTTATGTGCTATTTCAAGCTTGGAAAGGATTTATATGCAAAATATTCTGGTGTTTCACCGGTTAAATCCGACGGTGTAACACTCTTGCCACAATACGACACGAGTCCTCAACCGCTCGATGTCCGAACCCTCGCGACTCAAAATCCAAACTAGTCGACGCTCTCTTCCATGTTCTTGCCTTTTCCCGACCCGGAAGAGAAGTCGCGGATCCCCGCGCTCGACTCGTTCGTGTAAGGGAGAAGAGACCCAGGGGAGGAAGAGAATCTTTTTGTTCTTCGCAACATCCAATTCGACGGCCGAACTCTTTTCATCGATCGGCGGGCCCTGATTCGAGCCGCAGACTGATGCGCGAGGTGAGGCGGCGGGATGAATCGAAGGAAGGAACTCTGTAGGAATTTCCAGCGTGGCAGGTACATCCGATCCCTCCCTGCTCAAATTTGTTACCTGATCACCGTGTTCTAAGTAGGGTTAGTTGTTCTTGCCGTGGTAAGAAGCAAAAACCCCGGAGAGGCAATATGATACTTAAGTAGCTGTCGCGAAACCCTAATTCGTTCCACGCGGCCTTTTTTCGTCGTTTGAAGTTTTGTTGCCTCTGTGTGCTTGTTCTCTCGCGTTCTTGCCGAAGGTTTTGCTTGCTCTTGTCGGTGCAAAATGTTCCTTTTAGGAAATACTGTGTATTTTTTAGGAGAAGGTCAAAATGAAGTTTTTGGTTCAACTTCAGATGGGTATTGTAGTTAATTTGACAATTTGAAATTTCTTAATAATGGTACAAGTCATTGACTATCATCTCATAATCTGGCCAAATGTAAAATAAAAAGTGGTGTGTTTAGTGGTGATAATATCTATGAATTTTGATTTTTTAGCTTTGACTGTGAATATCCACTTACCATTTTGTATATGCATTTGAAGTCCTTTTTGTTGGTAAAAAAAGGGTCCTTTTTTGTGAATGATTGTGATGTTTCTTACAAGTTACATAAGTGAACATCATAGATTATCTAAAACAAGATATCTCTTTACTTATAGAACTGGAGAACATAGCATCCACTGTAATTCTCGTACTGTGTGATGTTCTAATTTTCTCAGATAGCCGTGTCAGTCCTCAGTGTTGGATAGCACAATAGAAATAGAAAACCCTATATTCATTTACTGAAGCAATCATAAGGCAGATCTATGAGGCTTATTTCATTAGAAGATGAACTAGGGATTTCAAGAAGTTCAGGCAAGTCTACAACACTAACAAAGCAAAAAACTAGAGTAGAAAGTTTGACAACAAAATGTATATTTTCACAATATTTCAAGGTTTTATTTTATTTCTTAAGATCTGAAATTCTTAAATAGTGAAGGCATGGGAATTACGGAGAGCTGTAATGTGGACGGAACTACCAAATGTGATTCAATGGTCAGGCATGCATAATGGAATATAAATAGGTGACTTTAGGAGGCTGATATTTGTATTTGAGGGTGGGGAGTAAATATATATCATGAAGCGTTTGTTGGGTCAAGTGTCCTTGTTGTTTGAGAATGTCTGTTAAAAGCTGATGAGCACGAAGGATGACTTTACAAACATGATCCAACCTAGCAGGGTTTATGCATATTGTTTTTACTATCTTCGTGGTTTCTGTTTATTGTATATTGTTTAAAAAGTTGTTAAGTGAGGTCTGCATAAATTAATTCCCATACTCCACATTGTTTTGAAATTATATTGGACTTTTTGATCCCTTGTTCAGTTAATGTCTAAGCAATTCTTGATTTACTATTTGGTGAATATCCATTTTAGACCAATAAGTTTTTGACATGTTTCTTTTATTATGTTTTTCTTTTCAGCTGCCAATATGGTGACCGCTGCAAATTTCTCCATGTTACTCAGCAACAGTCAAAGGCCAATCCTTTTGGATTTGGCACTGGTACCCTACATTTTCCGAATGCAACTCAGCAACAAAAGCCTAATCCCTTCGGATTTGGGGTACAAAGCAATACACAATCACAGAACAATACACATTTGAAAGCTTCATCAAATTTTGGTGCTCAACACCAGAATCCAGCCAAGGTTAGTTATTCTTTACATGGATTATGTTTTTTTCATCCTGCTTGTATCAGACCAAACTTTTCAAGCATGGTATTAAATTGTGCACCTCCATATTCAGCATGCACAATTTTTAGTATTACTTACTGAGATGTATTCTCTTGAGTGATCTTTATCTTGTCATTACCAACTATGCTGCATTTTCAATCTGTTTCTAGCCATTTGAAAACAAGTGGACAAGATCATCTTCTTTGACACCAACAAATACAAATTCCTTGCAACATACTGAGGCTCAACCCCAAGCACCTGCTCACAAGTGAGTTTCCACTCCAGCTAATGCGCGTAAATCTTGTCCTTCCACTCTGGTTGCTCCATTAACCTCTATGCCAGCTTAACTTTTTTTTGTTCTTTACTTTCTCTAATGTAGGATGTGTTGTATTCACTGGTTTTTATTATTTGAAACATAGGTGCACAGATCCTGAGTCATGCAAAAGGCAAATTGTTGAAGATTATAAAAACGAAGCACCTCTTTGGAAGCTTACTTGCTATGGACACCGCAAGAAGTAAGCTAAAAACTTAGAAAGCATGCAGTTAATACCTAATTGCCTTATTTTATGTGCTCTTAAACTTCTAAACAGCTACGTTATGTTTCAGTAATACATAAACATAATGTAATTATGCTTGTATATTGTACTGTTTGTTTAATTATATTCTTGCATCGGTGAGTGTGCTCCAATATTCGTGACTCTCTGTGCACTTGTGCTTGTAAATTGAATATATAGACAGATAATGTATCCTAAAAACCTGAAACAGTACATTACATTTTCTTCATTCTGGTAATGAAGCATCATATTCTTGATAACATACATTTACAATTAGTGCCATCTGTTTTCGAGCTTACTATCTGGATGCAATGTCCAAACAACAACTTACTGTATGGATATATTAATATAACTGATAGCTTTCTAACATGAAATTGTATGTTACACTTCATTCCAGTAATGGAAAGCATCTTGTTCTTGACAATATTATAAATGAAATAAATCCAAATAATTTCAATTTGATATGCTGATCGAATGTGCTGCTATGTGCATAAAAAATGATACAGTAAATTTTCTTCTACCTGTAGTACATTCTTGACAGTAAAACATAATAATTCCATTGTCACCGTTCATTTTATGAATTGCTTCTCATTTGAGTAGCATTCTCTGCTTGACCCATTTGCCCTTGCTTCCCCAGTGGTCCTTGTGACATTGTTGGTGATATCAGTTTTGAGGAACTCAGAGCAGCAGCCTATGAAGATGCAAGACAAGGATTAAGCCTTCAGTCAATTGTAAGTTTAAAAGCCTAGTCTCTCTCTCTACATCAATTTATATGCTAACAAAGAATATTGTTTTTTTGACACTGGATATGTATTTGTGCTGCACCATTCTCAAGTGCCTTTCTGATTGTCTATACAACACTACTAAATGCTTCTTAAACTATACATATATGCTTGAAGAATCTACTGTTGTTATATGAGTTGAGAGAGAGAGATTTGATAATTTATCAAACAAGCTATATGGATCACATAGTTTGAGTTTTCTGGAATTAGTCAAACTCGTATGACCACTTTCAGGGGCGAACCTAGGAGTTCTATTTAAGAGGGCACAATTTATTCATTATAGTGTAAGTGCTCTGGTAAAACTTTTTTTTTGGATGTGATCATGTAACATTAAATTTAAATTGGAACACTAGGCCCCCTAAATGAGTCATATAGGAAGAGAGCTCATTAAATTCATGCACTAGCTTTTTGCATGTGTGTATGTCAATATACATCTTTTTTGGCCAAAATTTAACTATCATAAAAGTTATAAACATATATATGCATGTTAAAGATGGGTTGTGAATTTGTTATTTACATACATGAAAAGACAAATGAGAGGTCACAATCTTTCTTACATGTTGAGAATCGAACTCTATGTGGCACCCTTGACTAGTATCACTCTCTCAGATTACAGTTTTTGAGACAAAGAAGCTTTAATTATATTTGTTTTATGTTTAAAATGATCTTTGCTATGAACATACTGTTGTCGAAATTTAGTTCGGTCTGTTGTAGATAAGTTCAAGTTAACAATAGCCAAGGATTATAGGTTTAGATGTTGCATAAGCTTCTGAAAGATGTTTTGGTTAAATAGAATATATTTCTTTGAATAGCTGCACTATCTAGACCATGCTATATCTTCTCTTTTCCTGCCTATAACAATCGTACATTATATGCTTAAGAAAACCTGCTGCTGTTGTGCAGGTTGAGAGAGAGAGGAACTTATACCTTTCAAAGTTGAATGAATTTGATAATTTACTCAAAAATTCATATGGATCACAAAATCCAAGTTTTCCTCAGATGAGTCAGTCTCCTATGTCCATGAACAATACATCATCTACAAATGTTCAAAGTAATGCTGCACCCTCATTTTCAAGTTTTAGTCAACTTACAACTAATCTTGGGCTCAACAGCAGGTACATTCTGTTCTGAACAATATCTTCTGCTGTAGTTACAGTATATGGACAATTCTTTCCACTGTTTGTGGCTATATCAAATTTCTCTGTTAAATACCTTTACTTTTCTCCTAATCTTTTGGTGTTCCTTATCAGGACCAATCCTCCAGGAACTCCGAATGGTACTGGTTTTGTACAACCTAGCCTGTTTCAGAACGCCAGCCAAAATTCTGTCGGTTTTGGTGTGAAGTTTGGGGCTCCAGGTGGGGTAGCAATGGCATACTTTTTCTTGAATTTAATAGCACATTATATGATCTGAAGTTGCTTTATTTTGAAGCTCACCTTCATTACTTAGTATTAATTACTATATATAAATACATTAGTGCCTAACGACTCATTCATTAAAGGTACATCTTTTTTGTTACTGTTGCTGCTGTTACATATTGATTGGGTAATTTTGTGAACTTAAGAATAGCTTGGGTATTAATCAGAATTGTTTATTATAGATTAACATTATTGCTGTCTCATTATCTTGTGCATATAACAGAACCGAAAGTACAGAGTCTTGTCACAATATATTGCTCTGTGTCAAAAGTTAATTTAGCAACTCACGGATGATAGTTAAGCTAAGGGCTATGTCATTGCGATAGCATCTTCTCTCGTCTTCCTCTTTTTGCCAGCGTCTTTCTTCATAAAGTGTAATTGTGTTTTTAAGAACTCAGGAAAAAGGTTGCTACAAAAACTATCTATTATATAGAAAGTAATGCATTTGTCCCACTAATCAGCCAAAGCATAATAACCGAGTATTGTGGCTTTGATACCGGGGATGATTTTGATGACCTTGTCCCCCCAATCAGCTAAAGCATAATAACCGAGTATTGTGGCTTTGATACTGGGGATGATTTTGATGACCTTGGCTTGTGAGGGAGTCTTTTTAGGGTTCCTTTATGGATATATGTTGCACATATTTTCATCCTAGCACAATTACTGCTAAACTACATTTGAACTTTCTTTCCTTTCTATTTTCACTTAGTACTACGGCTAAAGAATTAGTGTGAAATCTTTTTTATTATCGAGGCTGTAGCTTTGCAGGAGGATTTGGCCAGCAACCAACCCAACCATCTGGAAACACTCCAAGTCCAAGCCTCTCCACATTTAACATTGGTGTAAAGTCTCCTGGGTCACCATTTCCACTGACCTCCCAGCAATTTGGTGGCATGAACAATCAACAGCCAAACCTTCTGACTGGGTTTAATGTTTCTTCAGTTACTGTTGAACAAGCATCAATCACGTAAGTTTGGCCGTTTTGTTTCTGCTACAAAAATTGCATATGATGTCCGTACATACCATTGGTTTTTACTAAGATTTTTAATATCATTCTTGTTTCCATGTAAATATATACTTGTCACCTCTGAGACCCTTTTTCCTACTATATTATTGAGATGAGGACAAGTCGATCTTTTTTTAAGGGAAACGATGACATTATATACACTAGCAAATGGGTGACTAAGTTGATGGATGCATATTTTTTTTTAGCAGTCTTGAAGGGAGTTTTGTTTGTTATTATGCTTAAGAATGAAGTTCATGCCTCATACAAGGTTTAGATGTTATGATGTACCAATCTTTAAGAAAGGAGTCATTTGTTTACTGTGTCTAACCAAAACTTCTCCCACAGGGATGAGCAACAAGAGGGTAGTCCAGATGACAGTATTTGGTTAAAGGAAGAATGGAAGATAGGAGAGGTATGATTATACCATCGAAATTAATCTTCTAAGATGTCTTAATATTTCTTGTGGGTAGCGATAGATGTTTGTCTAATAACTTAGCTCGACAAACTCCAGCTGAATCCATACATTAATCATTTATCGAGGCAGTTGATAGATTTTTTTGTTTTTTTGGTGCCAGGTGAGATGATTTTCTTAGTCCAAGTTGGTTCTGCAGCTATAATAATCAATAGACCATGATATATGATATGCTAACCATTATGGTTTTTCATTTTATTTGTGGGTTCAGATTCCCGAAAGACCACCACCAGAAAGATTCTGTTGATGAGCTTCTATGCCTTCCAAGTTCGAGATGAGGGTCAATGGTCTCAGAGAGTGTTCTCTACGCTGATGTTAATTATTTTGGTGCATTCAAGAACTTGCAAGCTTCGTCCTCACTCTAACCCGCATCTGATCTGCTTCCGAATCCTCCCACCAAGTGGTGATTTCTCTCCCTAAGATTCTGGGAAAGGGTTTAATGTCTGCTGTGAGACCATCCTGGCACATGGAGGTTTTAGTTGAGATCTTCAAAGAAGTACACGCTCCAGATGCACCTTGATCAGATTTCAAGGAAACAAATGGTATGCTGAAGCAGAATGTGATGCATCAATTCCCGGTTATTTGTAATACTCTATTCTTTACTGCATCATGAGTTGGCGATTTTGCTGCTGTTTCATATAAGAAATCATATCGTTTTAGATCAGAAAGTTGTTCTCAGCAAGAGTTTTCTTTACGTTCTAATGTACCTTGTTGACTCATGCTTGCTGTCGGGAGACGCGTATATGGTGCTCGATGAAATGACCCATAGGGATGTCCTTTGGGATGCCATGGTGAATCGCTTTGTACAGTTGGATCGCTCCGATCACCAAGAAAATGTAGATGTTAGGAACAATATACGTCTTCTTTCTCTGCCAGGTCTCCCTTCAGAGACTGAAACATAAGATTTAGAGTAAAACAAGCACCTTCTTTATAGCAGAGCATGCATGCTGTTTGGAGAAGTCACAAAACCCACGCCTAATAGCAAAACAGAAGCCATACGTCGACGGCAATATCATTTGATTCAGCAGGAATGCGCCGACTTAAATGCCACCGCGCAACAGAAGGCTTCAAAACAATGATGCAATCCAATGCCAGTGTTATCAGCGTTAACAGTAGACAACACAGTCAACATAGTTATCACGCCCAAACTCGACCTTGATCCGATCAAGTTTCTGTACCTGGGGATATATAGAATCCCAACCTGACTTCCCCCCGGATCCGCATGTGTATCATACGGTTCCTTGTTGGATTACGATGCTTGTTGGATCAACATGCTCGTGCCCGTCGTGCTCGGTGAGGTGCTCGACGCCTTGTTCTCAGCGCACCGTCACTCTTGATGTGCTTCGCACTTGTAAGATGCCGACGAGAATCTGCCGGATGTCGGCGCCGATGGGATCTCGATGGATCTTCGGATGTCATCCATGCATGCAAGGGGACTGCTTGCCTCTCCCTTGTTTGATGAATTGCCGCGGAGAGATTTTGCTTGAACATAAGACTGGATGCTATTGAAGAAATGGACCGAAGAGGATTTGTGTGCTCGGAAATGAGCCACTGGATATGCGCATGAATCCTCAGGTGAGATCTTGCATCAATCTTGAATTACTTTTCAGCTCTATCATGCTCTCTAAGCATTTTAATTACTAAATTAGGGTGGTTGCTTTCTGCTGTAATCTAGACGCTTGAAGCATTCATGTGGCCTTTGTTATATGTTAGATTCATGTGATTGGAATGCTTGCACTATATAGATTGCTTTATACCTGGTTTTTAAATCAAACCGGTAAATTAAGGCTATTAGTGCTCTTATAATTTGAACAACTTGTTGGTTGGAAAAAAAGATCTTTTTTCTATTACTGTTGTTTATGAAAAGGAAAAGAAGTGGCAATTCAAAAAGTGTATGGGTTATGACAAGCGAGTTTGACAACAGAAGATATCTTGGATTCTTGCCTTGATTTTGAAGTGGTAAAGGCATTTGTGTGATTATGGAGAGGAAACAAATGACATTTGCTTCAAAAGCAGGGGTTGCATTCGACAAGTGACCTTGTAGATCTTGTGAGAGGAGCATTGGCCAAGTCAGGAGGAAGGCACTTGAACTTCTTAGGTATTTTGATGCACTTCGATTTAGAAGCACACACAAACATCTCAGTTGAGCAGAGTCTCAGCAAGGGGATCAGTGAACTTTAAAAGGATTTACTTTTACCATATAACTTTGCCAATTAGTTCAGCCATTCTTATGCTTATCACCATAAGGACTGATCCGTTAAAAACTTCTTTTGGCATGTTTATCTAGAATTTGCCATCAAGAACAAATGCCCATGATCGATGATCATTGATGATGATTTGGAACTCTTGATTTCAGCCAGATCACATGCAATTCCTTAATTGAGGATCTGGTGGATAAACAAATTGCAGGTAGGCATTGGATCCAGAGAGCTATATCAAGCGCTTAGGAGTTAGGGTACCCATTAATGATGGGCTTCAGACACTAGAAGATGCCCTCTATGCTTGCTATGAACATCTTATCGTTATTTAATTTCATAATTTGGGGGATAGAATTGTGAAGCAGGTTTTTACTGACATCATTGAAAGGTCTGATGGTGGTGTTGACAAAGTTGTGAATTGTTCAGGTCTGAGTGAGCTTGGGACTGAGAGCGAAGCAGAAACTTAGAGTAAGTTGAGCGCTAAGCTCACGGTTCTTTTAAAAGGTATGATGATCCGATGGGAAATGCCAGTGAGCAACAAAAACAATGCCCATAATACCATATTTATTATACTGAAACTAGCAATTTAGAGGTTACTTAGATATGCATGCTACTCCAGTTGATTCTATGTGAAACATCCCTGCCTCATGATTTTTCATTCACTGAAACACTTTTGAGGCTCCTCAAATAGATAGGATTCAATTCAAAGCTCTCGCTGCACTTATTTTATAATTTAAATGATTTTTTTGTCATGCTACATTGGTTAAAAAATCAGTGTCTCCTACTAGTTTAAGGAGATGCTGAGGAGATCCAAGCTACTAGCATAAGGAGGTGTCAAGGGGGAAGCTTAATCAACATACTAGCAAACAGCTCTCTTAGTGAATATTATGTGTCTTATCATCTCATTTCAAGTAAATAACCAAGACTCTCAACATTCATTCTATCTTTGGGTTTTCTTTCAATCATTATGCTTTCATATATCAACCAATCCACATGTGAGCCATACCATCATGCTAAACATTTACCATTATGTTCAGCTAATGTTTTACAGCTACTTAACTATGAACTGCTCTCTCTCTCTGGAAGCAGACATGTAGAGAATTCAAATGCAAGTGGGAGAATGCGGAAAATGGCCAAGAAAGACAGCTACTCTGAAGCAAAAAATATGTTAACTCTCTGTGATCTCGGAAGCAGAGATGCAGAGAGAACAATGCAGGTCGGAGAATACAACAGGTGGTCAAAACAGAGAACTACTCTAAAGCATTTAAAAGTATGTTACATGAGCTATGTCTAATCCACTCTTCACCTCTCATCTAAATTGCTTTTCTCAATGCTACCTCAAGGATTCCTCGAGCCTGATCCATCGAACCGTGGCCGCGACCTGTTGCGGTGACAATTCCGCTTTAATCAGAAGGTGAATCAACATTTTCAGTGTCGTACAGTTGAGGATGCAAAGCTTACTTGTTCTGAGTTGGGTTGGAGTTCGAAGGGGGTATCCTCCTAAGGCTCACCCTTGTCTGTCTTGTAGGTGTGCTCAAGCTTCTATCGACCTTCAGTTGTTGGTGCTCCTGCGTCGTATGAGATACTGCATTCGGAGGTAGCAGCTTTCTTGCTTGAACTCCAACAATACCAAAAGAGCTGAGAAGGAAAATTATCAGAAATAGCTTCAGCACAGCAGGAGCAGCACCTAAGAAAGATCTGCATCCATCCTTCATGATCTCCCTTGATTCTATCAGATGTACATATGCCAACTGAGAAAGAAGTGGGAAGAAGAAAGGCAGCAGCCAAAGACCATGGGGTTTATTGATGACAAGGTTGATCTATGCTGGAATTTTCATCAAACTCATTTTCTAATGGATGCAGGAGATCATGTGATGCAACTTTGACTGGCATCCCGAGAGCTTCTTCCATTCCTCAGACCAACTCCATTCAACAGGCAATCACGTGATCTTATGATTTGATTACTGCCTTTACTGCAGTCTCTCTGCCATGCCAACCTGCCTTTGCCACTGTTAACCCCATTTGCTGCCTGCTCCAGAAAGATTAGTCTAAAGGCCTGTAATATGTAGGCCACACTCTAAGCCGTAGCGTCTCTTCTCACGTGCATGGATTCCAAGTCTTATCTCTCTACAACAAGCAATCAACTGGGTGGACGTGGATAGACATGCATCGGAAGGAAAAGAAAACAAAGGTTTATGTTCATCAGCTGACTGATGATGGAGAGCAAATATGCATTGGAAGAGTCCAATCTAGCAAGCATTTGCCTTTGTTTTGTTTTCTTTGTTCTATTTGACTGTGGCACAGATCTCCAAGAAGGTCAGATTGAAGTTAAAACAAAAGTGAACAAGGATTAGCTGGTCATTATTCTTTACAGGGTGTTGTGGTGCAGGCTATCTTCTAAAGTTAACAGCAAGGTGTACCTCTCAAGAGCCACCAACAACTACACACTCACAACCCAAGCTGTGTGTGACCAGGGTGACTGAACCAGCTGCCCATCATTGTGACAAGCAGGTTTACTTTTACCCCTTTCATCAAAAATGGAACGAGATCCAATAAGTTTGTGTCATCAGAAGTCACATGTTTTCTTCTTGGTCTGAAAGACTAACATATTTCACATCTTCAGACACATACCAGATGATGCTGGAAACTTTGAATGGGATTTGAAAGAGAATCGTACGAGATAGGAAGGCTTCGGCAGATCCATCAACAGTCTCCGGTGGATCATACAAGGCAAGAATGAGATGTCACGACGAAAGAAATATTGTTCATGGGACATGCGCAGAGTGATTGAAATGTCTCAAGTAAGCAGTAGAATGTTCTGAGCAAGAACTGCACTCCCTGACATAGTTGCAATGCTGCTTGAGTGGCCTAAAGGTTCATTGAATGGGAGAAAGTTTTAGGACGAAGACATTAACTAGGATTGCACTATTGCCAGCTGAAATGCACAGTAAACAGAAGACTTGCAATGAATTGACGAACAACAGGAAGTTGCAGAAAGGTTGATCACTGGGACCTTCTGAGAAGGAGCTGCTTCAAAGCAATGGTAACCTAAAGTTTTTATCTAAGCATTCTTTTTCTTTCTGCACTTGTTTCTGATGTTGCTTTTACTTCTTGAAAGCTATTATGCATTTATCTCTCTAAATACAAGTTTGGTATAATATCCATTACCTGATTATTAGTATAATCATATTAAAACTTCAGTTAAAATGAACTAGCAATTCAAATTGGAGGGCTTCTTTGTAGGCTTCAATCCTTTCGTGTCATGCATGTCATATCACCCCTAAGCTATTTCTTTTTTTTTTTTAGTTGTCATAATCCTTAGAATATCTTTTTTCCTTAAAATGATGGAAATGAGTGAAAAAAAAGAAACCAGAAAGTGGTGAGATAGAAAGAGAAAAAGGGTGTGAGAGTAAAATAATTAATGAAAATAATAACAATATTTTATGGACACACAAAAATTTCTCCTTTTTCCCTTTAAGAGGAAGACAGTCAACAATGAAGGCCAGATTCAATGGGCTAAATCTTGTCTGCTAATGCTATTATACATCAGCCTCCTGATGAGATTAAAAGACTGTCTTGAATGCATTGTACTTTTAGATCCGCATAGATGCTTGATTGGTTCCATCAAGATTAGTGCATGCCCCATTTGTTGGGTATTAGGCTTCAAATTCATAGAGAATGATAATAGAGGAGAAAATAATGATAAAAAACAAAATTGTCCATCAATAATCCAACTTTAATTAAAATATAAATTCTTAATATATGAAAAAAAACAGCCTAATATGAACCCAAAGAAAAGTTCCATAGCAAGTGATGCTCACTTCTTTTGAGATGGTCCTCACCATCTCCTCATGCTATCTATACATGAAGGGTGGGTCTCATACTCCATTGTGTGGGCCACATTGGTGCGACTGACTCCACACCATTATTGTCCTACCCATAGCGCCAAATTTAATTTCCTCATCAAGTTAGGACCAAATCTATATGTGATGCATATGCCTACACGTATAGCTTAAATTAGTGGACACGAGAAGCATTTGCAAATCCACCGTTCATGTAGATCACATTGGGGTAGGAAAAGATATTATGATTATGATGATGATTATTATCATCATAATCATAATAATACTTTCTTCATCCAAAGATAATCCTTTTTTACTCGAATCCTTTTACCATACCTAAATATTAAATCAATTTAGATATCAAATATTATGATCCAAGTTTGATCGACTAATTAGTCCATAAATTTCGTTTAATCTAAACTACTGATCAAAATGTTTAGACTAAAATTGATAATAGTATACTCATCAAACTTTTATAAGTTAATCTTAGTTTTACTTATTTCGGATGTAAAGACTAATCAGGGATGTGATGATGATGATGATGATGATGATTATTATTATTATTATTATTATTATTATTATTATTATTATTATTAAGTAACATGGTTTTAATATTATTTAGGTCCAAATTAGACATAATATTTTATGTCATGAGATTATAAAGACACGTTTATGATTAAATATATAAAATTGTATGTAGATTAACTTTAGTTGAATGGTCTATTCAAATTGCATCATTATGGATTGTAGCAAAAAGAATCAAAATAATGCCATCCATGAACTTAGTCGAAGTCTAACTTGACTAAGAAATATCCTAATCCAAGTAATAAATCACGAGAAGAGAGAGACACATGAATTCAAATAAATAAACTTTTTGTCATAATCAATGTTTGGTCGTTCCATGTCAATCGGGTCACCAACTTTTTTTCATTGACCACTATTCAAAGTCAATAAATATATATTTTTTAAAAAATATAATTACTATTTGAGTCCTAAAAATTGTCCCATACATCACAAATATTTCCGACTTGTTTGGAAATATTTTAATTGTCATGATCTATGACAAAGACATCATTCATATTGCGATTATTGTCTACCATCCATTTCTTTGATCTCAATGTCTACGGCGAGCGTCGGAGCTCCGACATGACCAGAATGCATCCACCGCATGCATGCACGATCCCACCCGCCTTGGATTGCGGTCCGAACCTGCTTCGTTCCCATACCTTTCCATCACCTTCCTGCATTGAATGGCATTTCCACTCCCCAACCACCTCCTCCGCCCGCCTCTTCCTCCTACTCGTACAAATCCCACGGCGTTGTTGTCCGATCCACTCCGCATCCCTTTCCTTCTTCCCTCCTCCTTGTTCCTCAGCTGAAGGCAGGACGACGACGACGATGATGAGCGAGGAGGACAAGCAGCAAACGAAGCCGGCAGCCGTCGGCGAGGACGCCATGGCGGTCGACAGCGCGGAGGAGGGACGGACGGCGGAGGCGCTGCTGCGCGTGGCGCCCGTGGGGCTCTGCCTCGCGGCGATGGCCATCATGCTCAGGAACTCGCAGGAGAACGAATTCGGCGCTGTCTCCTACGCCGACCTCACCGCCTTCAAGTTGAGTCCCTTCCTTCCTCTTCCTGCTTCCCTTCCTCTGCCCAACCGCGCCATGCATGGGTTACTGACCGGTGCGTCAAGAGCAGGTATCTGGTGTTCGCTAATGGAGTTTGCGCGGCCTACTCCCTCTTGTCGGCCTTCTGCGTGGCCATGCGCCGTCCCTCGACCCTCTCCCGTGCATGGTCTGTCTTCCTTCTCGACCAGGCAAGTCTTGATCTCACTCCCCCCCCTCTCTCTCTCTCTCTCTCACACACACACACACACACACACAGCTATGACATCTGCAATCTTTCATGGGGATCGTTTCTGCTCCTCACTGGAATGTGTGTGTGTTGTGGCAGGTGCTGACGTACGTGATACTGGCGGCGGGGACGGTGGCGGCGGAGATAGTGTACTTGGCATACATGGGGGCCGAGAAGGTGACGTGGAGCAAGGAGTGCAGCGCCTTCGACGGCTTCTGCAGGAGGGCGACGACCTCCTTGGGGTTCACCTTCGGTTCTGTGGCTTGCTATGTGCTGCTCTCCCTCGTCTCCTCCTACCGTCTCTTCAGCAACTACGATACCCCCATCACCTTCCTTAGCAGCAAGGGATTGGAGATAGCAGCCTACCCTTGCTGAACTCACCAACTGCTCAAGTGTTTGTTCTGTGGGAATTTAGCTACAATAAATATATATCATATATCATATATCATATATATATATATAACATATATATATAAATAACATATATATATAAATATATATATCCATCCGGTTACAGCAGTAGTTGTGTGTCTCCTCTGTTCTGTGAATGAAGATGATTGTAATTGTTCTACGAACACAATCTGGTCTTTGTATCTGATGCCACTTGTTGAGTTGCTTACAGACTCGTTCAGAAACTCGAATCGATGAATATAATATTGTAGATAGATCTCAAGTCCATTTATTTACATCACCGGCCTTTATGGCCACTAGGAAGCTCGAGAAGATGCCAGAAAGAAGGGTACTTACTTAGCCTCCAAGACAAGCACAGGCATGGCTTCCACAAGCTTCCTTTTGTTTTCCCTTTCTAAGATCATCCTCACTGGCCAAATGAAACTGATATTATTATTATTTTTTATAAAAAAATATTGTTTACCAATTAATTAGTACATTCAAAAGTTTGTATATATATATATATATTGATTTAAAGAAATTTTTTTTATTGATAAGATTTTTTTTAAGTAAAGAAATAGATTATGATTGCCATGGATGAAGATTTGATGTCAATTCAACTCAAATAATTAATTATTATTAAATTATAATTCTTTTAATCCTTAATAATATAAGCACAACACCCTTTGCCATCCCCAACAAGGCATGTGGATGATGCATGCATGCGAGCCCACATCATATGAATTCTTGGATTAAAAGAAAAAACAAAGAACATACAAAATAATAATAACGATAATATTTAGATGTATTAACAAATATTAGACTAAAAATGGTGAACATGGATGGCTATACGGCAGTGGTACATGTCATGTATGTATGTGTCCGAGCCCCGATGAAGCTATGGAGGAAGAGGAGCAGGAGCATGGAGGAGGAGGTCGTCTCCGAAGAAGTACAGGAGACGCTCCACGGCCCAGCTGGGCTCCGACGGCGGCGGCGGCGGCGGAGGAGGAAGCGGAGAAGCCCCGGCGGTCGAGCGCCGGGCGAGGAGCGGCTCGCGGCAGAGCGGGCAGCTGAGGTGCTCGTCGTGGTCGAGCCACCGGTCCAGGCACCCCCGGTGGAACACATGCCTGCAGTTCCTCAGCTCCCACACCCGCTCCCGCCGACCCACCTCGCTCAGGCACACCGCGCACGTCGCGGCGGCCGCCTCCTCCTGCTCTGCCACCAGCTCCCCGTAGGTCGAGACCCGAAGCCCTTCCCTCACCGCCTGGGCGGCGGCGCGGTGACGGGCTCTGGCCTCGGCTCCTTTGATGCCTTCCGAAGACGCGGCGACAGCGGCGGAGGAGGAAGTAGGCCACCAGTCGTAGCAGGGAAAGAGGAGCCACTTGACCATCAGCGACAAGACGAGCGCAGCCTTCGTAAGGAGTCGGACCAGCACGGAGCTCAAGCAGCAGTACTCCATAGAGATGCTGTCATCAACGTGGTCCTGATGCATATCCTTGTCTTGGTACTCTGTGGTGCAGACTCAGGTCGTGAGTGGCACAGGAGAAGATAGACAACAGATGCAGAGAAGGAGATGCCACCAAGACAAAGACAGACAAGGAGAGGGGAAAGGGGGAAGAGATGAGAGGCAGGAGGGGTGCTTATAAAGGGAGATGGATGATGGTGGGAAGCAGGAGGGTAGGGTCGGTCGAAGCTCGACCTCTTTTTCTTCACCTGCTGACCTGCTTTTGCAAAGCAGAAGAAAATTCTACTGCATGCTGACCCACCACTTTCTGAGTGGTTGGGGTTATAGGAAAGCAATCCTTTGATATCACAAGTGGAGAAGATGAAAGCTGTTGATCTATGTCAAAGTGGCAGTGACTGAGAGTGATGAATGAAACAGATGAGAAGCGTCGCCTGCTGCTGTAACAAGTCAAGAACAGAGTCTTGGCGGTGGGGGGTGGGGTTCATAATCTTGATGCTGCACATCTTTCACATGATCCAGAGACGGAGGATGGCGGAAAGATGACACGCGTGAGCTTGCATATAAGGTGGGTGGTCAAGGATGGGGGAAGGAGATGAGTCAGGTGTGCATAAGATCCTCGTCAGATCCACTGCCATGGCATGATCTTGACATCAGCTCTTATTTAAGTAGGTGGGCGCGCCGACGGGACCACGGTGATGTGATAGATTCCAGGAAGGGATTGAGGTGATTAAAGCTGTGACGCAGGAGATGTGACATTTAAAGTCA